TGCGTGTCCCGTATACTGAGTTTTTGCTGTTTCTTACCGCTGTCTTGGTTGGTTTTGTGCACGCAACATCTTGTTGCGGCGCTCCGCATTTGCTCACTGGTTTTATGGAGATTGACGGCGACCAGTTATCAGTCAGCCAACCTCCGAATGCTTCATCAGCAGAGTGCAGGCCAGGGATGAGCGATAAGAGACGAACACAGCAAGAGAGGCGGCCTCTTCCGCGGAATATACAAAGAAGGGGGCGGGGAGACATCGCTTTACGCAGGCTGACATGCATCGCCCGGTGATCGAGTGCGACATGGGAGAAAAGATGACTTGGCAACCTGGCTGAACGACATATTCCCATAGATTGTTCTTGCCCAAACAAAAGTGAAATCATTTCCCGAATCGTGTCAATTTGGTGTCAATTACAAAATGCTGGCGACGTCTAGTTCCAGGGCAACAAAAAAACGGACGTTCGCAATTTGTTCGGTAGCAATGCAACGTCAGGTTGTGAGGCATTTCATACTCCGAGTCTAGTACGACATATCTCGTACATGAGTAGCATTTCACGTTGTGACGACGACGTCAACCAAATACGGGCTGGTTTCACCTTGCTGGGCCCCCCATCCACTCCTGCCCAAGATATGGAAGCGGACGGCAAGCAGACGCAACAGACGGCAGACAACGAGATGAAGGAACCGCGGTGAAAAGGATCAAAGGACCAATGGTGATCGGCAATGCACTGTCAAGGAGGCAAGAGGGCAACAGGCAGAGGGAATGGCAGCGATGCAACAGCCACGTTGACCTCGCCAAAACAACATAGTCCGTACTTCGTATTACTTGACAAGGTACCACCGGCACTGGACAAATGGCATCGACTGCCCACGCGGGCGGCAGTTGGAAATGGGAGATTGGAGCTGCAGTTGCTCTCAATCTCTCCATTGCTCGTGCCCAGCAATAGTGCAGCTGTTCATTTCGCTTGCGATTTGGCTCGACGCAAGCGGCCGTTCTAGAAAGACTAATGGAAGGCGTCGACAGGCGGGGCCCTTGGCGAATGTTCTGTCTACGACATACGTTATAGTTGTCACGATATTGTGGTGGTGGCGCGAGGCTCTTTTTGTTCGTTATTTTCAATCTATTTTCAGGGGCCGCGCCCTTTTTCCCGGGAAGTAAGTTGCATCTACTTCTGTATGTAGGATACAGTACGGAATACGCCAGCAACTACTCCGTCTACGAAACAACGTTCACAAAGAAAAAGAGAAAAGGGTGACATGCCAGCCGGCCAGGACACGTCCAGCATCCAAACCACTTGAGACAGGGATTTTATTGCCGCACTGACAGTTTGGGCAGTGCTGGAACGATCGTCATGACCACCATACTTCCTCCCCACCCCTCTGCCTCTGTTTCCTTTCTGGTTCTCATCGACGTTGCACTCTGCCGTCGTTTTTGCCTCTCGCTACGACGGTGTACATTGTTTATTTGCCTCTCAACCTCTGTGTCCCTGGTTTTGGGCCGGTTACGCTTCCGCGGAGAATTGGTAATTGAAATCATACAGAAAAAACTCTGCAATCTGCAATCTGCAATCTGCCCAAAAAAGGGCACGGACGATTGGCAGGCTCTGTGCGCGCAGAGAAATTGAACGGTATCGTGAAAGAAATCTAAAGATAATTATGTCCCTTTATGGCAAGAAAACACCAGGAAAAGAGGGCAGCAAACATGAGAAGCAGAAACAGCAGTGTGAAACAATAGATAGGGCGATACACTAATCGAAACGCACCAAATGGTTCACTAAATGCTCTCGACCGGTGCAGAACGGCTGTGAGGAAGGTGCGATTGCGAGGACAGGATATGGCGAGCGCCACAGAAGTTTCAGGAAGGCCGTCAGAAAGATAACACCCCAAAAGGCAAGTCCCACGTTTGGCCGGGGAAGACAGGCGAGACAGGCAAGAACGAGAGGCCCAGGCAGAAAAAGAAAGACCAGCGTGAGCCCACAGGTCCCACTAATATGACGGCGCTCTCAACGTATTTTACTATTTTATTCATAGTGTGCGTTGATAGCGTGTTTCAGACTCCGGCCCGCTCGATGAACTTGGCCGAACATGGGCAAGGACCGTTTTCCACGTTTTCTCGATGACAGTGTCAAAACGAGCAATCACTTGTCACGAGGTTTGTCGGTGAACAGCGGGCTTTCCTTATTTCGACAACACGACCCTCTTTGCCAATCCTCGCTAACAATGAGTTTTGCTCGGCGGTCATGAGAAAACGTGGGTTCGACCAGGAAAGCAACGAATCGAAAATCCAAAGGGAAGGGATTCTTGTAGACTGCGGAAACTATGATACTTCCCACAAACAACCTCGAGAGTGTCCGGGGTTTTGGAGCCTCCCTCCGTGCACAAGATGTTTTGAAACGCACATAGATGCTGGAGGACAAAACGGGACAAAGACGACGAAAAGACGACAAAAAAAACGAAAACGGTAGCAGCAGACCAACACCGCGAATCACTCATCCGGGGCGCCAACGTTTAAAAAGAACAAAGGCAAACAAAGGATGTACAAAAACGACGACGAAACCGGCCACTTGCAGAAATGCGCTTGAAAAAGAGACAAACAGAAGACGTGCGCAGCAGGGCCAACCGAACAGGTTGCGTTGAACCCAAGATGGGCCAAAGAGCAAAGAACCAGATTTGCAATGGGGGCTGGACACGACGACATGAGGCTGGAAGCTTGCATCGGTCGTATCGGTCGCTTTGCAAACTGTCCTCGATTTCTTCCGAGAGAGGGGACAAACCCTGTCACTGCCATGCGCACAATGGATGAACCCCCATTGCCATTTTTGGGCTTGCCAAGACGGTCTCGCTCTGGCCGATACAGAGTACACAGATTGTTCAGAATGAGGACAAATCTCCTGTCCAGCCTCCAGTCCACAGCGGAACCGTGACAGGGAAGCGGGCGAAATGACAAGGCCAAGACAATGCAAGAACGCAAGATCGCAAAAGATTGCAAGACAGGGGACAAGATTCCCAACACTCCAAGACTCCAAAATCTACAGGGGGCATGTCGTAGGGCTCCATTGTCTTGCAGAGCAAGCTAACGCTGTTGAGCTTCCATCTCCGAACCATAAAGTGAACCCCAGCGGGCCCAGTATGCAAAAAGTCTCTCGGCTGGGAGAAACCCTGGCTCCGCTTGGCCTCCCCTGCTTCCAAGACTCTGTCAGTCTGTTTCCTCCAGACTGCAAGAATAAATTATCAGTGGGAACGAGTCCATGGTGTGCACTCTAAAAAGGTGTCCCATTTACCATTTATGCCTTCAAGATTGCTGCTCACTGTCCATCAGCGCCGTCCAGACCCTGTGGTCTCCCCAAATCAAGCTATGCTACACCATCCTACGCCACCGCTAATAGGATGGAGCCTCTCCTCGTAGCCTTTTTTGTTTTTGGGAGTTGCATGCGACCGGGGAATTACCCTCCCTCCCCTTGAAAGACACCCCCGAACCACCCTAGAATATGAGGAATCGGACCGTCGAGTACTAGAGGCAGGGGCAAAACGGGAAACGCAACAGGGAGCAGGGGGTGCGAAGGCAACATCGGCGGGGCGCGGGTTGGCGGGCTGGCGGGCTGGGCTTTGGTACCATGTAATGCCAATGGCCCCTGATACGGCAAGTGCAGCGAGAGATCCCCATCTCACCCGCAAGCGATACCTTGACAACATAGCAGTGGTGCGCTCGCAATAGAGGCCGATGGCTGGCGTGTCCAGGACATGGAGCGGTGGGGGAGTCATCTACTCGCAAAGTAAGTGTCGTAGCGTATCGGGTCGGTGCCTTCTGGGCTGGGTTTCTTGTCTCGTCACAAACAGGACCGCAACACGAAAGACATGATCTTCTCTGTATGTCTTTGAAATGACAATCTTATGCAATATCGCAGTGTCGTGCTGCTTGCGTCATCAAAACAATCCATGGACAAGCTGGAGGTTATCTCGCAGTTTATAGTTCGTACTATTGATTGCCCTGTTCGCTGTCAACTGTCCTCGCGGACCCACGATGTCCAAGATCTTGCCAGACGAGATAGTGCACATCACGCGTGCTTCACAGAGGTTACCACCTCCGCACCATATGTCGCACATCGTGCATCAAAAATCGTGTATCGTACATTCAACGGGCATTGTATTCCATGCACACCACTGGAGCCTTCGGCGTGTCCCCGGTCGACTGTGCCACGCTTCTGCAGCGGGGATGCACGGAATAGGTTCAAGAAAGAGGGAGGCGTACGACAGTGTACGATAACCATTGGTCCGGTGTGCTATCAATATGCAGCATCCGCCGCACACAAAGTGGGTGGAAGTACAACTGTACCCATCTACACAAAACACATCGAGTATGAAAAAGCCAATGTTTCTCGAAACCAGACTTCCTGGCATCGAGTTTCGACGATATTGCATCGCCATACGAGATGCACGTATCATACCTGTTCCCAGGTTTGTGGAATAGTCGGACGAAACGGCCGGCGTCTCTTTGTTTCGCCGTCGCTCGCTTCAAACGTGTGTCAGGATCGCGTGTTTCCGGGTTTGCCCTACACATTCGTATCTTATTGGATACGTGCGGAGCACAAGAGTACGTCGTCAGTCAGTAAAGGTGATACAAAGGAGAATCAAAAGGAGACAAATCATGTCGACCCAATGCGGATTTCACTCGGTACCGATTATTCGGGAGAGCAAAGGCATAAGTGGGAAAGAGAAAAAATAGCTAGAAAAAGACCGAAACGACAATGGGAAGGCAGGAAGACTCCGAGAAACGCGCCGGAGACCACACCGCTGCTGTGCGTGGTGTTCGCTGTCGATCAAACTTGGCGGCGCGGCAGCAAACAGCATGAAAGCCTGGGCAAAGGACCTTTCCCAGCCACGTTCGTGCATATAGGTACGCAGAAATGCTCCCGTCGTCCCGGTACGACGTGTCGGCGTGGCAGAAGAAATCGAGACGATGTATCGTGTGCACCCGACTCTACTACCAATAGTAGTCCCGTTAAGATGTATCAATACCTCGCAACCGAACAGCGGGACGACCAATGCTACCACGAGGCAGCCATTGCGTGTCGTGCCGCTATCAAACTTTACTTCGGTTCAAAGTCGACAAAACCCGACGCCAGTCGGAGTCCAGCATCCGACGTCAATGTCCATCGTCCAACGGCCAGCGTCCAAAGAATAGACCTAGCACAAATTTTGGAGTTCAAGCATATCTCGCCAGCCGTGACGATCGGCATCCATCGCGGCGCACAATATGTCTGGATACTGAATAGGGGCCTTGCGACGGGCGAGGACAGTCACCAACGAGTGTGGAAAAACTCAACATGAACCTCACTCGAGACTTTCACTGACTGACTGATGACCCTCTATACGAATTCAGCGAATTGAATTGCCGACTTGTAGCTTGTCTCTTCGGCCCCAAATATCTCCTCTTTCAATCGCTCTTCGCTCTCAACATCCCCACAGAATCATCTCGCTAATCCAGTTTTCTGCCTTCTTTCCTTGGTGTCTCCTTAGCATGGACCCAGGGCGAGAATGGCCTCTGGGTCCTCTGGATCGTCTGGGCACTCCGGGGGTTCCTCCATCTGTTGTCACTGACAAAAAGAGTCTCCGTAGCGAAACGACGATCGTCTGTCTTCCGTAAACAGGAACAAGTAAATCCGGGGACAGGTTCATACAAAATAAATGCCTTGTGCAAGCCAGGCGCCAACAAAACGGTGACATTCTCGTGCATCGTGGCCTTGGCATAAACGGCATCCAAGACCCGAGCATTTTTGTGATTGAGTCCCTTCTGTGGTCAGAACAAAAGAAGAAAAACACGTCCACATGATTGCACATGTCTGACTCTGTCTTCTTTTCTGTTTGTGCCATGTGTCCCTTGTTTTTCTTTCCTTCGTCCTTTTCCACTGCCTTACCCCATATCAACCATCAACGGACACCTGCACTCCAGCGTTCCGCCTGCACTAGCAGGAAGCACAACATATTTGTACTGCATACACTACCACCACCGGCTCTCGTGCGGCCTTGCTTTCATGGCAAACGGCGCTGGGGACCTTCAGGGCACATGTTAAATCCAGCAGCCGCTTTTCTGCGAACAGTCTCGTGCTTCCCTCTTTGAGAAAAGCGTCGAATCCGGCATCATAAAATGCCCAATACGGATAGGAGCGCAGTGACAAAGTGCGGCGAAAGGACATACGGGACAACCGCCTCCGTCTGGGGAAGCGGATTGTGATGCGCGGCCTCAAATGTTCACTTGGTTTTTGACATGTGGAAAGTCCCTCGAGAAGAGGGAGTGATTGCCAGAAGGCAGGCTTGACAAGACAGGCTTTTTTTTTCGCGAGCCCCATTGCGACAATTGTCTTTAGCAGTGTCATCTCGTCCGCCCATCTGGCTGAGATTCTCAGTTGGTTGGCCCGAGTCCCTTCACGTCATGTCGAGAGACCTTGCTTGTATTTTTGTTTCTTCCGTCATTGTTTCCATGGAAAGACACGTTCTGCCGGGCCCAATTTAGGGGGCCGGCCGAAGGCTAACCCGGTGAAGAGCGGGAGAGGGGAGACGGCGCGCCGTTTTGTAGAAATTGACGCAGGCACGGTGGGCTTCCTGGGCAGGGGGACGACAAGACAACATGTCGAAAGAGACTGGCGGACCTGTCTGCCGTGAAATACTCCGCAACTTGCGGCCGGCAAGTGGAATACATCGAACTATCTTGTCCGTAGTAGCACGTCGTACTGTCGCATTCTGTCGCACGTCGCAATTCCCAGTTTGATTGACAGCGGGCGACGACATTGATTCCAAAATGCATGCTAAAAAAGCTAGACAGGCATCAGGGGAGGTCGGAGGCTGGGAAGGAAAAGAGAAGGCCGTGAGAAGACGAAAAAGAGGCCCATATAGTCAGATAGTGCCAACGGCAAAAGAGAAAAGGGGAGCAGGGAGTATCTGCAATGCCACGCCGCGCCAACGCCATGCGACATGGAGAACGTCCGCAAGAAGCAAGAGAGGCGAGGAGGGAAACGGGAAAGTGATGTGCAATGTCCCGAAAAGGGGGAAAGCAGGCAGAGAGGCTCTTTCCCCTTGAAGATCGACATCAGGCCCCGCTCTCGGTTCTTGACGTTGAACGACAGACTCCGTAGCGTGTTTTTATTACATCGTACGTCGTAGCTTCCCTACACAGTAACTTGGCCCACAAAGTTCTTTCCTGCCTCTTTGCCTTTCTTGTCAGCCAGCCTTCTTTACACAGTATTACATACTCCGTTGCTGTCCACTTTCTGTTCGCCGCTTCTCTTTGCCCCTGCGCATCGAGTGGAGCCCGACCTTCGGTTCCCTGAACAAGACAAGAGGAACAGCGGCTGGCGAATATTTCTCCAGCAGGTGTAGGGGACGGTTGTAGGCGGGAGATAGACAGGGAGACGACGCACCTACCTTCTGTGGTCGGGTCTTGGTGCTGTTGCTGCCATTTGGTGGCCGTTGGGTTTGCAGAGGAAGGAACGACCAGAGCATCGTACGATCGATAATCTGGCAAGACAAGAAGGGAGGAACGAACGACAGAAGACGGAGACAACGATTGCCAAATGGTGACCACCGGTTTCGGCAGCGATAAAGACATCGTTCGATCGAAAACAAAGGCAGCCGTGAAGGTAGGAGCGGCATGGCCACACTGGCAAAGAAGGCAGTTGCCAAGTGGTGGTAGCCAGTCAACATTGCACTTAGCAGTGCCTGGCAAATGCTACTGTCCCAAGATCACGGCTATCGTACTGTCTCGTTGCCGTCATTCTTGGTCCCATCAGTCGTCTGGCAAAAGGGACGACCGATGTACTCGAGTTGGGCTGGCAAGCTGCTCTGGCCGTCCAAGCGGACGAGACGAACAAGGAATGAGCTGCCATCGCAAGCGCGCCTCGAGACTTCGTCCAAGTCCACATGAGGAACATTATGGACGGCCCGAGTTGTCTATTCATGGGACGGGCTCGGACGCCTTATGTTGTTGGTGGTCGGCCACAGTCGCGTGGGAACTGCCACGGAGGAGGAAGTCGGCATCGGTATTATATCATACCAGTGCCTGGCAACTGTGTCTGAGTGCGTGGTCAGCAGCTGCTCGATAAATGATTGAACCCATGAGGAAAGGAACATGAAGATTCCGCCGCGGGGGATGATGCGGCGACCACCGCTCGAAGGCACGTCCTGTCGCCTCCTTGGTATGCCGTCGTCGTTCTTCCGGTTGCAGTCTCTGCCGGTTGGAAAACAACGCAATGAACAGCGATCGGTGGCTGTTGTCCAAGGAGGGCGCCGAGTGCCAGAAACACGGTAGCAGCCCGCCACACCTCGGGGAGGCACGCGGTCGCTTACGCCGCTGGCCCGGCAGATATAGAAACCGTGGACATCTACACGAGCCTGTGAACCAGTTCTGCTTGTTGATATTGGAATTCTGAGCGCTCAAGTGAATCGTCTCAAAATCCGGGTCTCGTGTGGCCCACGCAATATACCCCGTTCTTCTAAATCGAGCTCGTCTTTCCTTGCTTCTTCCGTCCCCTTGTATTTGTGTATCTTTTCACTTCCGGATCATGAAAAATTATTGCCCGTCGTTTATATTTGCGTTGCCGCAAAGTCCACCTTCTGTTTTCCTTCTGCGATACAAGGTATATCCTGCGAAACAAGCATGAAACGGGCGAGACGATGAGGTAGGACAGAACTACCAAGAAAAGCCAGCATGTAAAAGAGGAGAATGCCGGTGGCGAGAGTGGTAACGCATGCGTGACGAGAAAGACAAGCGAGATACGAAACGAGAACGTGACGAGAAAGGAACGATAACAACGCCGCGAAGAGGAGACTCAAGGAATGTTTTCGCATGCGGGCATACGAAAACAAATAATGCAAATGCAAATGCATATGCATGCAGCCATGCAATGCAGAGGCAGGGAGTCGACAAACAAGGAGGGCACGAAGTGCAGGAGACACGGTGCATCCAACCAACCACGGACCTTGCCGACAGTGCCCGAGCAGCTTTGAGCAGTCGCGGAAAGTAGGTTCGTGAAGACAGGAGACCAACGAGGAGTCGGTGGATGGCATTTCTAGCAAGCCACCGAGTTTCCAGGGTTGTTGCTGCCCGGTGCTTTTGTCAACTCCCAAGAAGCAGGCGCCGTATTTCGCTGTTCTATTGGGCCGCTTACGGCTCTGCGCATCGGATTCGCTCTCTATCTCTCGTCATGAGTAGCGGTGTAGGCTCGTTCGTTTGCATACAATGGCATTGTGACGATGCCGGCAGTCTAGAATACAAGGAGTGGGGGATACAGAGGCAATGGGGATAGAGATGAGGAAAGGAAATGGAGAGAGTTTCTGCCAAAGGAACACAGTCGAGTGTAAGAGGCAAAAGATGTGCAATGCATGCATGTGCACGGTTTGTAGCACTGAATCACATCATCAAATCATCGGGGAAGCGGTCCGTGCACTGCATTTTTAAACAGAGAAAAACGTATGTTGTACAGTTGTATTTCGTGGCTTTTTATTCAAAAAAGCATTTGTACGTATTTTTTATTTCCGAAAAAAACGGAGGAAGACAAAAAAAAAAAAGAAGCAGTCACAGATATTTGTAAACCAATTATTTTCGCTGACTGAAATAAGTGTTTAAGTGTTGTGCTGTAAGACGTGCCATGAATGGCCGTGATGTTGATACCTCTGTTTCGTCCTCGCCTGCCAAGAGGAGAACAACGCACAAAGTCCTGGTGCAACATCGATACCGCCACAATCCTCCAAGCCCACAATGGACATGCCCCTCCGCAAATGGGGAACAGACGCCGTGTGCCGGCCCAGCGCCACGGATGTGACCAAGCCGGGTTGTCGATGCCACTTGTGCCGTCCAATCAACTGCTGCCAGCTCCAGTCTCGAGTAGCAAAGCACAATGCAGCATTTTATTACGCTTTTTTTCGATCCCAGTAGCTTGCAAATCGAAGCACAGTCTAGACTCAGAAGAACACGAACAGGCGCAAATAGAATCAGAGTAAAAGGATAATGTTCTTATAGTGTTTATTAAAGGTGATTTCAAGCAAATTCGCAGTCGGGACTGCATCATGCTGCGCAAGAGTACTATACTGTGTGGCAATGTCGCCATCTCGTCAGTTTTTGGTAGGAATAGTCATTACACCCGCCAGGATCAAATTTTACGGCCTCGTCATTGCGGTCACTCCTTTTGTTTCGTTGTCCTCCCGTGTAAGCATGTTCATGTGTGGCCATCAGCTGACCACTGGCTTGCCCCGTTTTGGTAGCCCTTTATTCATTGTGACACGAGAAAAATTAGTTGGGGTACTTGCGCAGCGGGAAGAACGACTCCGGCATTGGC